GAGTGTTATGTTATCTTTCTATCCCTGTCCCTCTTCTCATCTTCTCTTCTCACCCCATTTGCCTTACAGTATCCAAAATCAAATCTTTGTTTGAAGCATGTCTTCCTCCACCTTCCTCTGCCCCGTAGCATTTAGCCTCTCACAGAAGCCACTTCAATCCACCTTTCTTCAGTCCTCCCCAAACCCTTCTCTTCTAACTCTAAGCATTCTTCCAAAGAAATTGAGAAAAGCCCACCAACTTAGAAGCCTCATAGTGGCCAAATCCAATGGAAGTGACTCTGCTGATGTTCCTGACCGTTTGATTTCAGCACTTTGCTATTTTTACCCTTTCTTTGATGGCATACAGTATGGGAAGTATGTAATCACTCAGTTCTACCCTGTCCAAGCCATTGTTCAGCCATTGGTTCCTGCAATCAGAGTTTTCAAAAGCTTCCCCTTTAACGGGTTCCTGGTCTTTTTGACCCTCTATTTTGTTGTGGTGAGAAACCCCAATTTCAGTAGATATGTGAGGTTCAACACTATGCAAGCCATTGTGCTTGATGTGCTCTTGATTTTCCCTGACCTCTTGGAAAGAGGGTTTAATCCCAGAGATGGTTTGGGGCTGGATTTGTTGATGAGTTTGGACAGCACTGTGTTTTTGTTCCTCTTGGTGTGCTTGATTTATGGTTCTTCTTCTTGCCTGCTGGGTCAAATCCCTAGATTACCCATTGTTGCTGAGGCAGCTGATAGGCAGGTTCTTTGAATCACCAACCCATTGATCATTTACTTGTATTAGTTGTATAGCAAAGCAACTTCAGCCTAGGTAGTGGAAATTAAAGCTTGCATTTTCACTTCCTTAATAGCAGCAATCCTAGAAAGTTTACTTAATGCAAAATGGATTTAAGTTGTTTCTTACATTGCTGGATTCTGGTACGGTCTTTCCAAATCAGGATTGATTTCTTGTATGAGGATGAAAAACTTCCCTTTATCTATTGTTAATTTAATTCAATGTTGTATTTCTCTGGATTTACTGAATGGTTATGATTTGAGTTGTCACGGTTTGGCGTATATTTCTGTGGAAAGGAATATTTTAGTTGATATTTGATTGGCAAGTTTGACACACACACATGTATATTTTTAATTTCTTCTATGTATAAAAATCCTACAAGCAGTTATTTTCTCTTCTTAGTTCTTGCATTGTTAGGTTTTAGTTTGAGCTATTCTGGGAGTTCACAGGGGTGTTTTTCTGCAATGGTTATGCATAGGGGGCAGAGGAAACACAGATAGAGGTAATTTTCTAGTGTTATAATGTTTTTCTATAATTATGTTTTATGTATCCATATAGTTTTCAAGGCTGGTAAACTTTTCTATATATGATGGAGGCAACCCATAGTGAATGATTTGCTGCATAAATAAGCAGAATGCAGATGTGGATAGTATTAATGTTAATTTCCTCTGTTTTTAGCTGGAAGCTTGGAACCAAATTGTTATGGGCTAGTTAATGGACAAGGAAATTTAGTAAATTTTGAGGCAGGGTGATCCCTATATTAGATCTCGTCTGTTCGATTAGTAACATATTTGTCTGATCAAGGATGATCTATGTGACAATTTTAGATTTTACTTTTCCTCCTCTGTCTTTCTTTTATAGCTTAAACACATTTACAGTAGTCATGATGGAGTGTTAGCCTGAGTTGAGTGTGCAAGTGGTAAGTATTTTTGAAATATTTATGTCAGGAATTGGTTAATAGATATGACAAGATTGACAGGTTTTGCTGAGAAATACAATTTGGTGTCAATGCTTAAAGGTGGTTGAACTAGGATAATTATAAAGATGTTCAATCAATCTTCATTTAGCATCTAAATGTGTTAAATGCAGTATAAATTCTGATGTGTGGATGCAAAGGTCCATGTCCCTTCCCAAGTTTAGTAGGGCCTGAGGATTGACAATCCATAGTAACAACGGCTTCGTATCCATGTTTACTTCAATATGAAATCAAAGGATAATAAATTGTCAATACGCTAACTGTGAGCTTTATATTTAAGTTGCTCCTTTAACTATAGGGAATTTAACTATAGCAATGGATATTGAACTTGGAGATGATCGTGCCTTGGTATATACAACATGGAGCCACGCAGGCTAGGTGGATAATATTACAACAGCATCTATAATTATTGATATTATACAATACATATGATGTCCAATCTAAAATGAACCTTAATTTTCCTTGCACTCTACGTACGACGACAAGCAACAAAAAGCAGCAAAATTCAGACGAGAAAAATAAAGGAAGAAAAAAACATCATGAGGGGGACTAGAATTGGCAGCATCATAGAAGCAGGTCCTTGGCCTTCACCATAAGGCACGTAGGTGTAAGGAATTGGTGGTGCATAATAAGGATTTGGAGGTCCATAACCATAACCATAAGTATAAGGAGCAGGTGGGGTACAACACTGAACACCAGGAGCAGGAGGACACTTTGACTGGCCCTTCTCATGTGGTGGTGGTGGTGGAGCACCATATATAGAGTAGCCAGAAGGTGGTGGTGTTGTTGGTGGTGGAGTCGTCACTTGCTGACATGAAGGGTCACACTTGGAATTGGGACAGTTCTCACAAGAAATTGGGGTTGGGATGACATCGCCTAATGCATCTCCATAAGCTTCAAAATGAAAATTGGACTCTGATAACCAAAGGGCCACAACTACAGCTAGCACAAACTTTGCTTCAAACATGTTTTCTCAACTTTAATGTTTTACTTCAGAGTGGGAAATACATTTATAAGAAGGATAAAGGAGTGGGAAGATGATGAGGGTTGCAATGATGACCTGACACAAGCTTTAGATGAAAAGAGTGTTCTAGATTTGGTGTTTTCACTTGTAAGCAGCACCTGTTTTAGTACAGTTTTGGATCTTTCGCCTATTTTTCTTCTGCGCACATGATAAGCTGCCACATGGCACTACATTTGTCACGATATTATTGAAGTTACACTCACAAATGTCCTCCACTTTGCATGAGTACTCTCTGTGCTAACGGTTTCTTCAAAGTTTTCAACCTTACTTTTTCACTTCTACTTTATCTCTCTTTGATCAAAGGCTTATGTATTTTTTAAGAACTGTCTTTATCATCATAGATAAGCCCTGTACTATTGTTAATAATGGAGTTCATCACAATGATGTCTTAAGTAGAGAAATTTATATTGCACATTGAAGATTTGTGGGAAAAAAAAAAAAAGATGTATTCATAATTTCGCACATCACTATATCTTTTCTAGCATCTTTAGAACCATGGTTAATTTGAAAATAAGAAAATTGAAAGACGAAAACGAAAACTAAAATAAAGATAAAATTTCCGGAGAAAGTTTGAATTTGTAAAACACAAATAAAACCAATTTTTTTCTTCTAAATAACATCTCGTCGGTGAGAACAGAGAAACCGAAATCATTCAACTTTAGTCCGACACCTTAGACTGGTTTGGCATACTTGTCCAGATCATGGTTATTTAAATATTTGCTAAGCATAATTCACTTTCATTTCATACTTGAAGGCTCTCTAATATATTCCTCAAACGACACCCACTTTGTGAGAAAAATGAAGAAATACATAAAAGAAAGTTGTAGTCAAAAGAATTGGATTTATAGTTAAAGAAGTTATATTATTTATGTAACTTACGGCAATACTACTATAGTGTAACGTTAGTCAGCATATATATATACTAACACTAGCTTCCTGTTATAAAATCTGTTTGAGTGCAGGGAATCATTAATCATCATGTAGAGCGAACTGCTTTGTTATAAATGATATAAAAAAAAACTGACGATAATTTTTGTTAAATGTAGACATGCAATTGACAAGTTAATTTGCACTTCTATTAGAAATGGAGATGGTCCTAGCTCATTCACCATTTTTTAGATCTTTACATCCAAACCAACAAATTAAAGAAAGACATTATGCCACATGAATTGTCAAACAAACGAATACCTTGGCAGCGTCAATTTCCAAATCTTGCTTTTTGATGTTGGTGGAAAGAGGACGCAACATACAAAGAAAAAATAGTTCTGATTTCCCAAAGGGATAATAAATAGTATTTTTAAATATAAAAATATTCTAATTAAAATTTGTAATAAATAAATAATTTGAATATATAAATTATATTTTAGATTTATATTCAACAATTTTAATTTTGATAAAATATTTTTTAAAACATTAACAATTTCTTTTGAATAACTATTGAAATTTTCAATTTAGAATTAAGAGAGAGAGAGAGAATAGATTAGAAAGAAATAAGTGATTAAGAATGTTGAGTATACAAACGAACATATAAAACAGACAATAAAAATGATTGAGAATTTTTCTAGCTTGTTACAAGAGTAGTGTTTAAAATACCTCTTCATGAGATAAGAGAGAAAATAATAAGAATGTTCAATTAAGAGTAAAAGAGTTAGTTTTACACTCAAAATAATGCGTTCTAATTTATACAATATAGGTGTAATGTTTTAGCAATGGGATCAACAGTTGTAATACTCTTAACAAAATTAAGCATTGAGTTTACTTTAATATCTACATTTTGAATACATTGTTGGATACTCTCTTGGACTGTTAAATTGAGTTAACTCTAAGTTGATCCAAACAACTCATAAATAATGTCAAGTTGTATTCACAAAATTTAGGCCCAAAAATTAAATCAAATTGTTTTGAATTTATGGGCCAGTATAATATAATGTTGACATGAAAATAATCAACACACACGCACAAAATAAGTTGCGTTATTATTTTCATTTCATTTTTTTTTTGTATAAATTTAAGCACAAAATAAGTTGTGTTATTTTGAACCATACACCAACAAATTTGTGGTCCACAAGAAACTCGGATCAAGTCAATTTGATTAATTTTATTAATTTATTGTGCAGTAAATATTAAATGATTCTTCAAAGTAAAAATAGTTTTATACCACTCATTTACAACATTACTCAAGTTAGAACACTCATGCACCTTCCTTGAGGCTTGTCTCTGAGTATAGTGTGATTCGATGATGAATTAAAAAAAAAATTGGTGAAATTGTAATAGCTTGGACATACCAAAATAAAAGGGATTCATAGATTTGTACAAGTGCGATATCTTGTAGTTGATGATGACTTAAATGAATTAATTTGTATTAACTATACTAACAAAATGCATATACTTTTTGATAACTCATCACATAAGAATTTCATAGTTAAATGTGTTAGACTTGAAGTAATTTAGTAATAGGTGACCTTTTGGAAAGATTTTTAGAAAATGTGCAAGTGACAACAGAACATTAAATGTTCTAACTAACAAGAAGTTGTGTAAAGTATCACCATGTAAAATGTCGTGAAGTGTAACTACTGTGACATGGGTGTTACAAATATCAACACATTTTATTCTTTTGTTTAGGAAAACGACATTGAAGATGAAGAATCTTCTTAATGGTCAAACCAAAATATTTGTAGTAAACAATCTAAAGAATACATGCATTTAGTTCAATCGTACTACCTTTTGGGCATTAATAATAAAGACCATTTGAGAAAAATATTGAGATCAATAAAATTTTATATAGACAACTAACTTTCATAATATATATGAAATCAAATTTTTTTTACTTATAATAGAAAACAAAGGAAGTATTGGATTATATAATTTTTTACAATAGTCATTGTATTATTTCTTACTCCCTTCATCCCTTAATATAATAATGTTACACTTATAACAAAAATTCACCATTAATAATATCTCTCTTCACAACAAATAAAGTTATAAAGAGAAATAAACACAAAAGTAATATTATAAATTATTAACATTTTTTGTTTACTCTCCATGATGAGTATCATGTTTGAAGAAAAAGTAATAAGTTCCAAAATAAGTGTTATGCTATCTTTTCAATGTAGTATTAATTAATTACTTTTTTTTTCATATACACCCTTTATAATATGCTTTAAAAAGAGATTATCGTATTGCATCATTTATAACAAAAAAAGATTAATTACAAGGTAAGTTTTATAAAATTATTATTCTCTTTCAATTATTTATTAGTTTTTCTTAGTATGTGTAAAATAAACTAGGACAATACTAATTACAATATAAAGTGAATATTATGGAGTATTTGTTTTAAGTTATCTTTAATTCTTCCTAAAAACAAGGGATTGAGAAGTTTGTTATCATGCGTTCGTTACAAGGTAATAAAATAATAATTTTTGGATGTATTATTCTCAAAAAAGTAATAATAATATTTTCACGCAACCAGCTTTTATTTCAAACGGAACAAGATGAGAAGGACAACTCCCAACATGTTTGGAAATCATTTTGAGTGCGTGTATTTTTAATTTGGAGAGACAAAAATACGTTTATTTGAAAATTTTCTCTCACATATATTAGTTGCATAAGAATGTGTAATATCAATAAAACAAACACACACTTGAAATACGTTAGATGAACAACTATATTTAGCTTCTGCATCAATTTTAGAATTTGACATGTGAAAATTTTGACATCAACTTAGTGATTTTGTTATATAAAAAGAAAACAACATATTTTTGTTTTTCATATAAATTACCTAAGTAACAAGTAGCATGTCTAATTTTTTAAAAACATATTGTGTCAATTATTTTTAGAGAAAAAAAAGGACAAAAAATTATTATTAGAAATAAAGTTTAATGACTATGCAAAAATATAATGTAAATTACTTTTATACTGTTAAGTGATTCATTGCATTTTAATAATAGTATGATTTTTTTAGTTATTTATCGGAAAATTTAACAAATTCATCGTATATATAGTTTATAGTTTTATATCGTATATATAGTTTATAGTTTTATATCGTATATATAGTTTATAGTTTTATGAGTGTATAACTTATATAAAATATGTCACAATTTGTATACCCAAAATTAATAAAATATAGTACATATATATTGCTACTAAAATAAAAGTTAAATACATCGAAAAAGTAGTGTACAAATTCTAATAAGTTTTAACCTTCTTTTTGTTATTGTATAAAAAATAATAATGAAAATCTAAATATAAATCGCTTACTTTTATAATAAGATACATATATATATATACTTCTTTTAACAAGACAGTGATTAGTTATAATATAAGTCCTGATTATTAAACTTCTTTTACATTGTATGTTGCAACAGGCATCTTGTTATATATATATATATATATATATATATATTAATATTTTTTTTGTAAATTTATATGGAACCTAATAAAATAATAGGTTTTTAGTATTATATTTAGAGAAAAAATAAATAAAAAAAATAAAAAGGAGAAAATTAATTTAAATTTATTTGTCATCTTAATAAATTTATTACCTTCTTTTTTATTTTAGTTGATCAACTTTTATAATTACAATATAATAAATTTTGTGTGTTTAAAAAAAACTATAATAAAATTTTAGTCATTATTACTAAAAAGTTATTCACAAAAATCAAAGAAAATTTTACATTGCTTATTTATAACACCCATTTCTCCTTTATACATAGATTCAACATACCAAAACCAGTTCCAGCCAAGAAGCAAATTAAAAGAAAAGATTCAACCTTTTATTCTTTTGTTTAGGGAGGCATGGAACCTGGGAATTCCTTCTTTCATTATGGTCCAGCTGAAAATTCAAGTTCTGGTAAGTATCTCAAAAATACAAACGAGTTACATATATGTCTTTTTATTTTACTTCTCACATGAAATATGTTTATAGATGATCTCCAATGCTACTTTTGTATCTACTGAATTAGATATTTTTCTACAACAATTATTGTTTCACTTTTTATTCTTTTGTTGTTAATTTTGATAATTTTATATCAGAGTTTTTATCTCTCTTGTTCTTTCTTTTTTTCATTACTTTTCCTGAGGAATCTGTGGACAGCCACTTCTCTCTATGTGAAAAAGGGACAATTTTATTATTTTTTATTTTTGATGTGTGATACCCGACTTAAATTTTGTATAATTAAAAATAATATATGAGTTAAACTTTAGAAAAAATACTATTTCTTTTAAAAAATTAGTGATCCGAAACACTCACATTGTCTCTAATTTTTTTTTTTATTTTTAAAGAGATATTCAGAAACTCATAGATTGTAACATTTCAGATCTTCCTCTTTTTTAATCATATTTCAGATCTTCCTTTTCAAATTTTTTTAATTATATTTTAGATCTTCCTTAATTAGCGTATATGATTTTGTTTTTTTTGTCTCTTTGGATTTTTTATCCTGGTTTTCTTCTAATTCTAAAACGTCTTTGCTTGAAATTAGATTTCAATGTGTTTTCAATAAGCGGATTTTTTCCCCGTTTATAATTGCACATGGTTTAGACACACATGTTTGTGTAATTTTGTTTTAACACTAACCTGTTTGTATAAGTTAAAAAATAATAATTTTAATAAAATGTGGTAAACGTTTAATTTTTAATAATTTTTTTAATGATTTTTTCAGAAGCAACTTAATCTAATTTAACATATTATTTTTTTTAAATCCCTATAGATTATTCAAGTAGATTATTAAGATACAGTTGTATATTGACAGTTTAGAGACTCTAAGTGACATCCATAAATGTTTTTTTTATAATTAATCTAGAGACTTCATTAATATTCTTAAAAAAAAATCTCATTTCAATAGTATCTTTTAACAAAATACTAATATATTCTTTAAAAATTTGGTAAAAGAAAAGCATTGTTAATTTTGGTTGTTGTTTTGCTGGGTTTATGATACACCCCATTGAGAGGTTTAAGACAAAAATTGCAACGTTGGATATCTTTAAAAATACAAAGATGCATGGGTTTGGCTTCTGGCACTCAACTCAACTTCTCAACTCTCTTGGTCTTGGTTTTATCTGCAAAGCATCTTTGGCTGCAGTTACATTCATTTATTAATTAATGCATAACGTTACATATTCGCATACCATTTTATGCAATTAATCTTCAAATGATGCAATTACTCATCATAGTAACATGTATGTATGTACATGTACCCTGAATTGAATATACCTGCATGTCTGTTACACATTAGTTGTTTGTACTTCTGGAATCTTCATTTTCTCTTGTTTGTGCCAGGAAATACACGAGTTACACAAATTAGTCATCTTGCAATTATATATATATATAGGTTGGATTGAGACATTATATATACAATCTTAAGTTTAAATTTTATTACATTATAATTTCTATTGATAAAAAATATAATCACATGATTCTTATTTTTTAGTTTTAATTTCATTTTCGTTTATAGAATATCTTATTTTGTAATTTTGATTCTTAATGTTTAATTAAGAGTATTTAAGGTGAAGTTTGAATCTACTGTCTCATTGTTTATTAATGTTCATATTACTAATTAAGACAATTATTTAGTATTTTTTTATTTTATAATAATTATCATCCTAAATTATTTTGTGTAAATCAAGAAAAGTTAATAAATAGATAAAAATATATAATAATAATTTTATAAAATTAACATTATTAATCTTTTTTACTAAAAAAATATAATATAAAAATCATTTTTTTATAATATTATTATAGTATAAATAAAAAAGAGATAATTAATTGTGCATTGAAAAGTTATTATAACACTTATTATTTTATATATTTTTTCAATGTGACATTTATTATGATACAAAGAGTATTAATGAAAAATAATTACTTAACTCGAATGTATGTAATATACTTAAAAATGTTGCATACACACATATTATCACTTACTAAATATAGAGATAATTATCTATACATTGTCAGTGTAAAATTTTTTTACACTGACAATCAATTATATATTTTAATTATGTCATGTCATTGTTAAAAATAAATATATTTATAGTGACATGACACAATTAAAAGACATAATTGATTGTCAGTGTAAAATTTTTTTATACTGACAGTGTATAGGTGATTAACTCATAAATATATAATATGACTAAACACAAAAACAATAACTTACATTTTTATTAATACTATATATCATAAGTATAATTTAATCACTACAACTTAAATAATTTTTCTTTTAAAACTTGTATTTTTTTTATTTAGATACTTTATATAGACCGAAATAAGATATTATTATTGATGTAATAGCTGATTTTTTATATATTAATAATAGACTTTTTATTCAATTAAATGTTATTACATTTTAAATTATATAATATATTTTTCATACATATAACAAACAAGTTAAATGGTTTTTTTATTCTAATAAATGATGTTAATACATTGGATAACTTTTTTTTAACCATATTAGTATATATAAAAGAATCTAATAACTTTACAATGATATATATATATATATATATATTATTTAACTAATTTATAAAACTAATAATTACAATGTTAAAAAGAAAGTTAGATTATGATTATTGACAAAAGTTGGTGTGTGTTAGATTCAAAGGGTGAAGGGAATAGCAGCAATGGTGAAGAGCAGAAGCAGGAGAATCGATATTTGCCTATTGCATGCGTGCACAGGCTCATACGCAAGGTTCTTCCAAAGAACACCAAAGTCTCAGACGAATCGAAGGAGAAAATAATGGAGTGTGTCACTGAGTTCATCAGCTTCATCACTGTGGAGGCTAACCACAAATGCAAAGAGGAGCAGCGCAAAACCATCACTGCTGAAGATCTCATACATGCTATGGACAAGCTTGGCTTCGAACCATATGCCAAGCTTCTCCTCTTTTACCTCCATCGCTATCGTCAACATCACCAAGCTAACCAAGTCCCACATCGTGCACCACTGTCCCTTCCTGCACTCCCAACAATTGCAAATTATGCTCATGCTGTGCTGCCACCCCCACCACAACCTTTTCTTCCATTTCCAAACCCAACCATGGATGCCTTTTATGGTGATGCTTCAATTAATATTGGTGCCAATATTAATGTTAACTATGATAATGCTGCTTACTTTAATGCTCACAACTTCTTCGGTGGTAACTGATGACTTATATAGAACCACAATCATCCGGTGAGTATCTTGGCACAAAACAAACAACTATCTGTGTGTGGCTTTTTTATGTTTTTTGTTTTTTGCTTTTCTCTGTTATTGTGTTCAAAAAACATGTGTGCTGTTTTCTCATATTTAAACTTGTGTTAAAATGTATGGAACAATTATATATCAAGTATCCAGCGTATCTAGTTTGATTTTGACGTTTTTGAGTTGATCTTTTTTTTTTTTCTTTTTACAATAGCACCAGATCTTTAAGTTTACACTTTATTAATAAATTTAACTATGTGATAATATAGATGACATACAATTATATAAAATCTTTATAATATGTTTAGATATGATTTTATAATTCATGTTAACCCATAAATTCACAGCAAATTGTTACAATTAATGTAGAAGTTACATATATATTTGCTTATGAAAATTCACTATTTGAATTCAAAATGAATTTCAAACATGTTTTTAATTAAATTAAGAATTCAATCTCTGCACACAGAAGAATATTTGCCAACGGCGATAACACCATTAAATGAAAATTTATATCTCAAAGTTCTAATTAATTTGAAATTTGGTTAAAAAAATACTTTTTATGCAAACATATAAACATTAATTGTTAATGTTCAAGAGAGGGAATTTTTTTTAAACTATAATGATAACAAAATTGTTGCTGTTTCTTTGTTTTTAAATAAGAGTCTGAATTGTACATTTGCATGTTATAAAAAAGTACTCAACATATTGAAATAAGTTAAAAGTGACATTTTTCATTCTATTGAAATAATTAATGTGCAATTATTAAATTACGTACAATTAACTAGAAACTTAAGAGGAATTTATAACTATATTATTACAAGCAAAAAAGAAATTAAATTAGATAATTATTTATTTGTTTATGAACCTCACTATTAGAGATAAATTTGAATTTATTTATTTGGTTAAAAAAATTAACTCAATTTCTTCAAATAAAATAATTATATCTATGTAGGAGATCTTTCCACTTGTATGTTGATTAACTTATCCATTCATATCTGTATTGTAAGACATCTTTATTTACAATTGTTATTCCAACAAAGTTAAGGTGAACAACTTCAACAATACACTTGAGTATTTGCAATTGTATATAAATTATATATGTTATGTTTATTTATCTGCAAATTAACAACACAAAAACCAACTGTTTATTGAAAATTGGCTCAGATAGAGCAATGGCCCTTACATCGACCCAAAAACTACGTCACAAAGAATGTAATGAAAAACAATAGTAATTATTTATCCTCGAAGTTCAAGTATAACTGTTGCTCTCTGATATAATGAATCACTTCGTCCGCTGTAAGGTATTTTATTGATAATCCTCTTGCAATGCAACCCCTGAAATTAGTCAAAACCACAAGAAAATTGATCATCGTGTCCCTTTTTTTAACTATCGTTTGTAACTGTTGAAAGTAAACAAGGTCATAGCATTACCTTACTCTGGTTGAGCTGATTTGATTTGGTACAACTTCATCCACAACTTTGATATTATCCTAAAAAATTGTAATGGAAAATTTAAATATACATAAAAACTGAGTAGCAAAACAATTCATTCTAAACCTTATTCTCTTTCATTAAAAATATTGCAAAATGTTAAGACAAAGTCTGGTCCCGGGAATTTTGTTTCATTACTAATCAGGTATGATTCGTATGATGCATGGACTCCAACACAGAAGTACTTTGACATGGCTAATGCAAAAAATAAGACAATGATAGGAAGTAAACTGATATTCAGTTTGTATATTTATGTATATTCACCTTATCAAAATGTGTTTCTCAAAAACATTGAGAGATATCCTTTTTAATATTTTATGTTACATTTTAACCAGAGCTTACTGAATATTTGAAAATATATATAAAATATTTTTTTATAATACTAGTGCCCTTGAAGTATTCATCCATATGAAGATATCTGAGCTGATAAAAAATTCTTGTTAAACTGAACACTGATAAGTAGTATTGGAAATGCTGGGAAGGGGTTACTATCGAACATGTGTTTGACACTCCAACACCTCAAGCAAAACGGTGGTTAAAAGCTAATTAGTAATCAAGGTTGAGAGGAATTGATCAATTCTAACCGGTCACAGCAAAAAAAACCACACACACTAGCACACATCTACCCACAAAAGGTTATCAATTTTAACCATTCAATTTGAAATTCTCGTGTTCATTTAACATCAACACACCTTTGTTGCTGTGTATATGGGACATCACAGAAAGATTTCACCAGTCTTCCTATAATTTGACCTTAATATGGTTAAATACAATTCATATACACGACATACAAATATTTGAAAATGTCTAAAACATATGAGCCACATTTCATCTTAAACACGTAAAGATAAATACGACAAACTAGAATACCTGATTCTGCTTCAGAATTTCATCTTTAGATATAGTCTTCTCAACATCTTGTCCTTCTCTGCGAATGCAGACTACTCCATAATCTCTGCATATACTATTAACCTAAAGTACAATAATAAAATTATATTTCATTGTTTCCACAACCTATGAAAATTAATATTCAGTAACATATATGGAAATTCAATTTGTTTATCCACTAACTATCCAATCCCATGACGTATAACTCAATCAATCCATTCAATTATAAAAATAAAGCTTAATAGATTAGTTGAATTGGAACACCATTTATTATTGGATGGATAATGGACCATTCAACATATTAAACTTTAAGAGATAGGCCTTCAAGAGACAAATCATGGACTCTGATATTTGGGTGTAAAAATGTATAATTATTAAACTTTATTTTTAAAAAATAATATATATACATATATATACCGGTATCGTTTGAACCTTCCTCATATATATATATATATATATATTGGATGGGTTGGACCATTTTTTATTAAGTGAGTCATGGATGGATTACATTTTTTTTAAATACATTTTTATTGGAACATAAATGGATTAATGATTATCCATTTCAATTCAAAATTTATCCAATTCATTAGTTTGACACTCCTGATCTATATTCCACCTATGCCTTGTATCTTCGTGGGAAGAAATAAGACCATTTGAGACTCAATAAGCTTGTCAATTCTAACAATAAAAACACCACAAAATTGGCTGACTTTGAATTCCATGACCTTTTACGGTTGATTAACCAAAATTATTAGGTGGGACAAATTCTAGTTCCATGTGAAACTAAATCTATGAAAAACAATATTACATTTTTCTAACATATTGAATGCATAAGTACCTGGTCAGGAATCCAGAATCCAGGAATGCCAAAAGAATGAAGAAGATCAGAACCACAGAGAAGCATGACCTTGAGAGATTCTACACTAATCAATACAAAAGCAAGTTATTCTATTGTTACAACATTGTCTGAAACAAGTATAGAAAGAAATGAAAGCCTAGCAGACATTTTTACATAATGAAGGGAATTATTAATGCTCCATTTAGATTAAGTCAAATTTAAATCGCTGAACATTTATGAAACATGATAGATCACTTTTGAAGACTTTATCACTATACAGAATCAAATTGCCCATCCAATTATACATCCATATAGCACTAAGAAATTTCACAAAATATAGAGTCAATTGAGCACCTAATATCAGAGAGAGGAAAACATGGACAAACATTAAAATTCATACATTAATCATTTTAGTAGCAAAGTATTCCTAACACCAAATCCTTAGCAATTAACACCACATTTTTAAAAAGTATATAAGCAGTAGGGATTAGCATTAAAACTAGGCTTCTTTGTCGTGCATACCTCTAGATACCAACCCTGTCTCACAAACGGAATTGTGGACTCTGGAGAGAACAGTTAAGGTCCGTTGGTATGTGCTCTGACTTGCCTGTAGCAGTTTATAGCCAGGTAAACATGCAAAATATTAAGAAATCAGGTTATCCAGAGAGCCAAATGTTTCACACAACGCACATGACATCAAAACACTGTTTCTCAAATTCAAATTTATGGATAATGAAACTTTTACACATGCAAGAGAAAAGAAAGACGTGCAATCTAGCGGATGGAAAGGCTGTTTTACCTCCCATGGATCAACCATTACAAAATCTGAACTTTTGCAGGCTAAATGACACAATCGTATTCGATGTTCAGCAGATATGAGGCTCTACATAAACATACAAGCAAAATAAAATTAGACCGACATGTGACAGTGAAACTAATAACAAAACACTTGATTAATAAACATCATAATTTCATGAATAGAACTATTGGATTTGATCTCTTTGTTGAAAAAAGCAAATTAAAAACTCAAGTCAAATAGACTGCTTGCTGATTTTCATAACAACTTCAGTGTTTACCACATGCCAAGCAAATGTTTTACCTTATTCAATCATTTATTTGCTTACAAGTTTTATAGACTCACATGTGTGGATATAAATCATGTAATAGATGGAGAGTTTTTTCTCTCTTTGGTTGACCACAACATACCTTTTTCTTGTATGCATCATTCACAGGAGACATGTAACCTCCAATAACACAGTAGCCATCTGAATTCAATGCATCTCTTGCAAGCTCTAAGGATAACATCCAGAAAAACAATTTTTTTGAAAAATATCAGACAAGCAGAAAATAAATGAAATTAAATTTTAAAATGCACAGAATTCAAAAAATTAAACTAATGAAATTCCATCAGGTAATACTTGAAGTGAATTACGGGGAATATAGATGTCCCAGGGTAGTGAAATTAAGGAAATGAAAACAAAGGTAGGAATCTGAGCTATAAACAGAACTCACCAAACATGCGTAAATGCATGAAAGTAGGTGGATTAAAGCTTCCAGTTGCTACTAGAACTACATATATCTTGCTACTGTTATTTTGGGAGAAAGATAAAGAATGTCAAAAATCATAATAAAGTTAACAGAAAACTCCCTCACAAAATAAATAAATAAGACAAGAACATACTTGTTTGTGTTTCCATGGGAAGCTTCATTACGAATCACGTCTAAAGCTAATTTATCCAGTGGCAGTGGAACTTCCATGACCTGAAACCATTAGAAGCGAGCAATGGTGAAAGCTAAATGCAAAACAACTTGTTTTTTTTTCTTTGATTAATTGAACTTGGAATTCCAGTTCCAAATCGAAAAAGTTGAACATGAAGAGATGAAGTTTTAAGCTCAAATTCCGTGACTTCTTTTGTTAATGTAAAGAAATGTTATTATGTGATGCAATATTTGCAAATAAATCACAAAAATCGCAGCATCCGAACCTGACTGTGTTGAGTGATGCTGCGCCAGGTTTGATGAACGAAGCAGAGGCGAGGGCGTGCTCAATAATTTCACCATCAAAAGAATATCAAAATTGAAGAACAGCGTTCTCATCCAAGACTTTGAATTCCAAATTCCAATATTCCATTCCTTGCCCACACCGCTTCAGAGTGAAAGTTCATTCAACACGGCTCATCCCATATATTTGGGCCTCCTCTTTTGTCCATATAACCAATTTTTGGCCCAATTGTGGAAAGAAGAGTAACCATAGTTTAGGCCCAATATATTGTTTTTTAGAACAGGCTCAAATTTTTAGTTCTCAAAGTAATTTATATTTAGAATTATAAAGTTCTAATTAATATCATTATAAAATAAATATCAAATAATAATTTATTAGTAAATTAAATATTTCTTAATTTATATGAAGAACTACATATTTAGGACAACCAAAGAGAGTATTATAAATTTATAATATGTTTAATACATCAATAACTACATGAATTTTTTTTATAAATTTTTAATTAGATCTTTGAACTTGAAAAGTTTATAAATGAATCTTTATTTATTTTTTAACAAATGATTATTTTTGTTGTATTTTGATTAATTTAGAGATATAATTACAAAATTTTAGAAGATTAAAGACTTGATTATATTTTTAAGTTTAACAAATGAATGAAGAATGAGGAATCTAACACTTTCTTTTTTTAATTATTGACTGAAACTTATTTCCACATTATTTAATGAAGCTCTCTCAATTTAGTTATAGGAATCAGTAAAATTTATAATTTTTAATAAAAATAATAATAAAGACCGAGGCATTACTCGAAGCTCAAAATCTATATGACAAAATAAAGAAAAAAAAGAGTAAGGCGGGTGAAAAGTAAAGACGATAGAGAAAAATAATGAGTATGGTTGAAGTGTTTGGAAAAATGGGTTGTTAAAAAATCATTAGCGAATAAGAATAGAGAGTTTTGCATAGGTTCTTGGAGCGTGCATGGTTATGCATGGGCATGGGCATGGGTATCTTCATCTTCATCTTGACGTTGTTCTTGGGCGGTGTGTGTGTGGTGGCAGAATCAGAAGCCAAGGCGAGCTTCGACTTCCCCTCTTTCAGTCTGAACAACAACATCACCCTCCTCGGCGATTCCTCCCTCATGAACAACGGCGTCCTCTGCCTCACCGGCGCCGCCCCCACTTACAGCACCGGCGCCGTCGTCTACAACCACCCCATCTCCCTCTTCGACCCCCAAACATCGACCTTGGCCTCCTTCTCCGCCACCTTCTCCTTCTCCATCAGCACGCTCAACCCCGCCTCCTCCGGCGACGGCCTCGCCTTCTTCCTCTCCCCCCACAACCTCTCCCTCCTCCTCTCCGGCCCCCTCGGCCTCCCCGCCGCCTTCGTCGCCGTCGTGTTCGACACGCGCCTCGACTACCCCTTCCACGTCGCCTTCGATATCAACACCATCAAGCCCCTCAAAACCGGAGACCCCATCTTGCACGGCATCGACCTCAAGAGCGGCAACACCATCGCCTCATGGATCGACTACAACACCGAGAAAACCTCTCTCAACGTTTTCTTGAGCTATTCTATGTCCAAACCCCTCCACCCCGTTCTCTCCGTTCACGTCGATCTCTCTCAACACCTGAAGGACCCCGTTTACGTTGGCTTCTCCGCTTCCACTCAGGGAATCACCGAGCTTCACCAAATCCACAGCTGGAGCTTCCTTCGCAGTGCCTTTCTTCCTCCAAGAACCAGGTTGCACCCTCATAACGTTTCCGTCGTCGGAATGCGCGCTGTTCCCGCTTCGAGTTCCCCCAAGAAGCGTCGTCATCATCACAAGAGGGTTGCGTTTCTCACCGGTTCAGTTTCTGTCTTCGCGGCTTTTATGTTATTGGGGTATGTTTTTGTTCGGAGGTGGCGAGGTAGGAGGAGAAAAGAGAAGGGTTTCGTAGGTGAAAATTTCGTGGCGTGTCCTCGGGCGTTTGATTACAAAGAGTTGAAGTCTGCCACGAGGGAGTTTCACCCTAGTAGGATCGTTGGACATGGATCGTTTGGAACAGTGTACAAGGCTTTCTTTATGTCTTCTGGAACCATTGCTGCTGTGAAAAGGTCGCGTCACTCTCACGAAGGGAAGATCGAGTTTCAGTCTGAACTCTCCATCATAGCAGGTTTGCGGCACAAGAATTTGGTTCAGCTGCAAGGTTGGTGCGTTGAGAAGGGTGAGTTGTTGCTGGTGTATGACTTCATGCCAAACGGAAGCTTGGACAAGATGCTTTACAAGGAGCCTGAAAGAGGGAAGCTCTTAAGTTGGTCTCACAGGAAAAACATTGCTCTAGGTTTGGCTTCTGTGCTGGTTTACCTTCACCAAGAGTGCGAGCAGAGAGTGATCCACAGGGACATTAAAGCTGGAAACATATTGCTGGATGGAAACTTGAACCCTAGGTTGGGTGATTTTGGATTGGCAAAGCTGATGGACCATGATAAGAGCCCTGTGTCGACACTGACAGCTGGCACAATGGGGTACCTTGCACCTGAGTATCTTCAGTATGGGAAGGCCACTGACAAGAGTGACGTGTTCAGCTATGGGGTGGTGGTGCTAGAGGTGGCATGTGGGAGGAGGCCAATTGAGAGAGAGGGGTCAAACTCAAAGATGGTGAACCTGATTGACTTTGTTTGGGGGCTGCACTCTGAAGGGAGGGTGGTTGAGGCTGCTGATAAGAGGCTGAATGGGGAGTTTGAGGAGGAGGATATGAGGAACCTCTTGCTATTGGGCTTGAGCTGTGCTAACCCTCACAGTTCTGAGAGGCCTTCCATGAGAAGAGTCTTGCAGATTCTCAACACTGAGGCTGCACCACTTGTTGTGCCTAAGGTCAAGCCAACACTCACCTTCTCTTCTCACCTTCCTCTCACTATTGAGGACATTGTTTCTGATGCTCAAGACTTGGGTACTAGCCACTCTATGTGCGAGATCAAAATTCACTCAATGTAATCTACTACCTACTTATTCTTTTCATTCTTTAATTCTATAGTACATCACTCATGCTTCTGCTTCATTCACTAGTACCATTGGTGTGAATGTATAAGCTTTCGTTTCATGAGAGCCGTGTTAGTAATATGGGCTTTGGGCCCTGGCCTCATTCTCTTGTCAAACAAAAAACATTAAGTCACGAATCGGTCGTCTCCAATTGGGTTTCTTGCTGATATAGGGTTAGTATGAGTATGACAAAAATACATCAATATATATAGTAGAGTAATATATTAAAAATAAGTTTTAATTAAATTAATAAGAGAATTTTTACAAATTAACTTATAAGCAAGATAATTTTAACTAGTATATTATTACAAAATATATATTAATTTTGTTGATGATACTAATTTTTGTTAAAATATTTATCAGAGTATCTCTAGTAAGATATTTTTTTATCATGTTTTTTTCATACATAATATTCAAATCTAAGACTTTATTAAAAAAAATTGGATTCAATATCAGTTGAATTTAGTTATAAATTATTAGTATTATTAATAATTCCATATTTTACACTATTATTGTAGTTATAAATTATTATATATGATAAAGTAATTTATTTTAAAAGGTTATATCTAAAAATATTTCTATTTATTAATAGAGTAACTTTTTTTTTTACTGAAATTAAACTCTTAAAAAATTTGAGAAAAATATATTGAAATTAAAAATAAAAAAAAAACTTTAGCGGAAATTCTCAAAAGAAGAAAGTCTGAAATTGTATGATGTATATTATTTTTGTTTGTAAACGGTTTATATTCACTTGTTAGAAATGTGATATAATCTTTAATCCTGTTATCCTCTCTCTTTATCTCTTTTACTAGTCCCATATATTTGATATTTCCTAGCAATTGCATTTTAAAGTTATTTTTCTCTCCCTGTCATATTCTCAAAATAGAATTATGCATGTGCAAATCAATAATTAACTACAAAAATGATTAAATCATATACATAATTTGATATTTATTATCGTTATTATAATTTTCCTTAAGAATAAAAAAAATATTATAAGTATATGAAATATCATTATTATACAAATTTAAATTTTAAAATATTCAAATAAAAAATAAAACGTATAAAATCTAACAAAGTTGTTTTTTATTTCAATTTAAAAATTATTTTATAATAAATGCACACGAATAATTTATCAATTTTCTAATATTATTTAAATTTAAAAAAATTTCATATAAACAATAAAAAATATAAATATAATATTTGATTAGTGAAACAATAAAAATCATATTCTATATTAAATTATTATTGGTGTATTAATTTGATTAGGTTCTTTTTCTTATATAATAATGCAAGTTATTCGGTCCATGAAGAGATATTTGCAGATCTTTGTTACATTTCTAATAACAAAGTTATTAATAAATTATAAATTTAATTTTTTTTAATTCTTATAGTTTTACTTAATTTTTAATTTTTATAGTTTAAAATAGATTTTTTTTCTATATTTTATTTTTTTAATCATCTTTAGTCTCTATATTTTAAAATAAACATTTTTAGTCCTTATATTTATAATTTTTTAATTCTTTTAATTTATATTTTTAATTTTTTATACAACATTGTCTCTTTTGTATTAATAAGATAATATTAATTCAACTTTATGTGTTTAATATCAAACTTATTTTGATGGAGTTATACTAAATTAGGTATTTTGTAATTTTGTACATATTTTGTATCTTAACTTGCAACGTTAATTATTAGGGCATTTTTTTAATTTCACAAAATTAAAAACATCTATCACATTAATACAAAATAGACAAATTATGAAAAAAAATAAAGATAAGGACTAAAATAAATACAAATCTATAAGTAAAGACTAAAAATATTTATCAAATAATAAAAACTAAAAATAATTTAAAAAAAAGATAAATATATGAAGAAAAAAAATATTTAAAACTGGAACTAAAAGGTAAAATAAAACCTAAAAAAGTAGTTATTGATTCTATTATTGAGTAGATCCGTTTGGGGAACAAAGGCTTTCCAAAGCTGACCTTTTACGCAGTTACGAACACACAGAAACTTTAAGATCATGTAATGTAAGCAATAGCATCACCACTTCCTATGTCTATCCATCTGTTTATACCAGTTTTAGCTTCGATGCTTGCACTGCTTTTCCTTCCAATTACGGGTGGTGCATATACAAAACCCACTTATACACAAAACTAGAAATATGACAAGTAATAACACCATGCACTAAAACAAAAAGAATATATGGGAAAAGAAAGTAATAAGAGGTCATTTTCTCAGCTCAAATATCAGCATGCTATTAATTAAATTTAAAAGGGTTCCAATCTAATGAGATAACAGAACATGATATAGTGAGAAATATATATATATATATATATATATATATAAGTTTTATTTCTGATTTTCTGTAAGCGTTTTTTAACAGAAGATGGCCACCATGAATTATTTACCTATCAACTTAAATCTACATTTAGTTGTTATAATTTTTGTAATATGTAACTTTAATTTTTTGAAAATCTTTATTATAAACTTGATTCTTTTATTTTTAAAATTAAGTAATTTCAATCAATTCTGTTAAATATTATAAATAACTAAGACTTTGTTGATATATATTGATATATATATATATATATATATATATATATAGTACCTCAATGATTTTGAAAATTAACAAAAATTGTGTCAAAAGTATTATCCAAACACACTAATGATTGATCCTTTTTTCTTCGTAATCCATTGTGGTAGCCACCAGAGAGGTGTTAATATTGTGGCAAATATTCCAAATTGACTCTTGTTTGTTGATTTGGTTCTTCCATAATTTTCACCACCCCTTTTATGTTCACAAATCACACTCATTTATCTCAGTTGATTAGCAACAAAATATAAGTGTATAGACAAAGGAAAGAAACAAAGAAAAATGGGGTAAGTCAACAATTATTTATTGATGAACGTGTTCATAATTTATCTCCAGTTGCTCTAGGAAATAGTTAGAAAGGGAGAGGAGAAACCTGCTGAGGCATCATTTATTTCTTTTTTCAACACTTCAATTCCGATTGCATTTGATCATCATTTCATCCCACATTTAAACAAACAGAATATTACAATTCATGGAATACTTTATATGCTTTAGAATCTTTTCTTAGTTACGGCATTCATGTAGGGACAATTTTAATTAAATTCCTTTTTCAAGTTTAATAGACATGTAGTGTAATATTAATATAAAGTTTTTACACCATTAACATATACCTATGAATTAACATATACATATGAGTATACAAGTTAACAAATTTATTATATATTAGCTAGCTATTTATAATTAATTAAATAACAGGATAAAAAATACTTACATTATTTGTTTTGACAAAAAATAATTACATCGTTAATCAGTACATGTTCTATATATTCATAAAAAGTTTAAATTAGGATACAAGTTGTTCAGTTAGGGAATATTATTAACTGTAGAAGCCAGATTTACAGTAAAGTGCATTTCAATAAGTTATTTTTATGATCTTGTAAAAAAAAATTTATGATCAAACTTATGTTGTAACTATTAAGGGGTCTATTTCTGATATAAAAAAAAAGGGTATATTTAGTTGGTTGAATACGGTACGTAAATTGGTGTGAAACTTGATAGCAAATTTGATTTAGATAGATAAAGGGGAAAAAAAAAAAACCTAAGTTGTGACCAATTGTAGGAAGTAAATTAATATCCCTTTGATACAAAAATTTATGATCTCCTAATGAAATTTTAACTACTTGAAAAATATCAATTATATATAACAAAAAATATTAAATATGTTTATTTTTAATAATAAGAAAACGTAATTTTCAAGAGGAATCCTATAGTTTCAAACCCAACTTTTAATTTCAATTATTATTATTTTGTTAATATATACTACATATAAATTTCAAATGTTTTTGATATGGAACGTAAACGAAAAAAAAAAAACCTCTCCACTTTCAATTTTAAATTTGCATTAAGTCGAAAAAAAAATATCATGAACTCGAAATTGATTTTTTTTTAATCTTTTTCCTTTTGTTTTACTAAAATGAAATGAAATTGAGATATTAATACAAAATATAAATATAGACTTATATTTTTTATTTTTGTAAAATATAAGCAAACTTTTGGTTTTAGTCTATGTAACTTTTTTTTTTAATTTTATTATTTTAAAATTGGTAAATATTATTTTTAATTTTTTAAAATAAATAAATTTTAATTTTGATCCATATATTTTTTTTATTTTTATCCTTCTAAAATATAAATTCATTTCATGATTTCTATCATTTAAAAATAAATAAATAACATTTATTTTAAAGATATATAAAACTTTTTAAAAGTGTTGCACATTGACATAATATATTACCACATTGATGTAGATAATACGTTACATGATTACTTAATATTTTAAAAAACAAACACATAATTAAAAATAATTATATAAAAGTAAGAACTAAAAATAATATTTCCAAATTTTAGAGAAATAAAAAAAATTACAAAAACTAAAATAAAATTTTATTCATTTTATGGTCATTAAAAGCATATTTAACTCATAAATATATATTTTAAATGAGAAATGATATGAAAAAAATGAGGGATGAATCGTGTACGAATGAAAATTTTCTATTAATTGGAAATAAATTTTCAATTCTGATCTCACCATGTATATGGTGATGTTACATGCTAGTGTTGGTTGATATGTTACTTTTTGTACTCATTTATTTATGTAAAATACCACAATTGTTTAAATAAAGAACATCAGAGTTAAAGTGAGCAACTAACTTCAGAAAATAGAATAGGTAATTTTAGTTATTAATGGAAAAAAGAATACCTAATAGTATATGAGTATATATAACAAACTATAAATATATTGAAACATTAATAGTTAATTTTCTTGCCAATGAATAAATATTCAAGCTAAAAAAGGAATTTTCTGGTTCTCTCCTGTGTGAGAATATATACCTCTGGAAAAGTTTTGGATTGATGCAAATAAAAATCTCCTCTCCTTGATATTCAAGATAAAAAATAAATAAATTAAATTGGAAGAGGTTTTACATACATGAGATTTTTTGTTGAAATAAATGGTGAGTTGGGATTTATGTGATCCATAGATGAGAGTACTGATGCGAAGGAGAGCATTTCCGGGGGTAATATGAAGATATAGAAAAGGACATATTTATGACCAATCGAAGGAGAGGTAGAGAAAAGGTTGACATACCTTGAATGGTATAAGACTTAAGAGATGTAGAAATTTGCATGTGAATGTGATGATGACAGAAGAGGAGAGAGCACACTCCCAACAAAGGCAAAGACTCCTTTAACCATTCCCGGGTTGTGCTCTCTCTCTTCTGTCAACATGATATATCCCATCATGCATCACCCCTGTCCATTA